TTATTTAATTATTTGTTTGCCGCATATATATTCTATCTGCAATCAGTTAAGTTATGCAATTAATGTATTGTTCATCGAAATTGAGGATGCAGATGGAATATATCGAAATAATCCAATGTTATATAATACTTGAGAAAGAGTGAGAGAGGGGGGGGGGGGAATAAAAGCTTCGAAATTTTGATTCGGGCACGAATCGACGGGCTCCTTTATTGCGTTATATTTGAAATATTTTTGTCTCGCCCGCGTATCTGTTCTGTTGCGCTGGTCACGCACGTCGGCCGCGAGATTCCCCTTGTTTCTCTTTCTTTATTTCTTTCTTTCCGTCGAGTTCGCAGAGAGAGAGAGAGAGAGAGAGAGAGAGAAAGAGAGAGAGAGAGAGAGAGAATCACCGCAATGAGATTAACGTTGCAAAATACATGAAAGAATATCATATTCCGCGACGACCGACAAGTCTCCTTGCAAAAGAGTTAAGATAGCAGATTCTTCTTAACGCAAAAGTTAACGATATCCTTTGAAAGTACGATTCGCGCGGGTAGCAAAAAACACTCGAACGCATTTATATCTCGCGCTAATTTCTTATCTTCGCGGCCGGAAGGACAGCGTCGCTCCCTGATGTCACGCATACGGGCGTGCGCGTATCTCGCGTGCGTCGTCATTTCGCGATCGACAAGTAATGATACCGTCGCAATTGTCTGAAAATTATCCGTCGTTCAGCGCAATTCCGCGATCGATCGCGGCGTCTTAATCAGCAAGTACGCACGTTCTCTCATTTCTAGCCACGAGGCGATCCCGGGGAAATTTGCGTGACAGTCCTTGAGAGCCGCGCAGGATTATAAATGTACGCGCGTGATGGCGCAACCGCGTGGCGAGATATCTTAATTGCTACCCGCATGTACGCAACATGGTACGACAATGCTACAATAGTGTCGTGCGCACGAGTGAGAGGAGAAGAGAGTAACTAAATTATCAGTACGCGTTTAATTAAGCGGTCGGCCAAGGTCGTTGCAGCTTGGAAATAGTTGGCCGAATCGCTGGAAAATTGTTACCCCGGGAAAAAAATGCGTGCACTTCAGGAGGAAGCCCACGAGAAAGAAATTCGGGGCGGAAAAGTGGGAGGTGATGCCCCGAAAAGGCTGATGTGTGTGTCTCCAGCTATTCGCTTGATATCACAATTTTACAAAAATACACCGATAATTATTCCGACGGCCGCGTATCGATAAGTAATGACGTTGAATTATTCAAATATTGTCCGATTGACTTTCTCGTGGCGCGAATAATTATAATTCGAACGTTTAGATAGTCGCGTTAGAAAAACTGTCGAAACATCGCATAAACGGTTAAAACGCGCCCAACACAGCCTAAATCACCATTCGTTGTAAAAGTTTGTTAGTTAATTCGAGATTTCCGTCAATTGCAAAAGACATTTATCCGTCGAATATTCACAACGCCTGACAATTTATCCGGGCGAGCTGTTTCGTCCGCTAGAGAGGAGGTAAATTTGTCTCTTTTATGATCGTTTACTCATCATCATTCGCGTTCAACATTATTCCACGTCACCAGGCCGGGAATAATAATTTCACGGCCATTAAACGCGTGGGAGGTTTTTACAGGTCGGCGCAAGAGACCCGCATCGACCTCGCATTCGATAAGTCAACGGCGGAGTATCTGCGTTTTCTGCATTTTAAAAATAGACATCGACCCAGGTGTGACTTTCTCGCGAACGGGGTTGTATCGAAAATATCTTCGCGTCGGGCGAGCGTTCGCCTTCAGCCGTGCGAGAAGCCGCGAAGTCTAGCGACGCGTGAATAATCGCGACCTTCGCAGCCTATCGTATAGTAGGTGTGTCCAATGTCACTGGGTCGGCGCATTCGAGAAACTGGCCAACAATACGGTGCAACAATTGCGCGACGCGATTGCGTAATTACGCTTCGCTGGAGCGCGATCCACGATCAATAAACTCGTCCGTGCACCCGAATGTGCGTCTAAGTAGGAGCAAAGAGCAGCAAGAAACTGTGTTTTTCCTCTTCATTCATAATTCATTTTTCTCGTGTTATTCCGCGCGAGGTCTAAGGCGCGACATTTGTTCGTCGACGCGTCCGAACCAAGTAAGCCAAATTTTCGCCCACGCCGCCATTCAGAAAAGCCGACGACATTTATAACCGCAGGACGTCCTGGCCGATACGACGAATATCTAAATAGAGAATGCCCACGCTGCGAAATTCTATCTTGTTGTTAATTGGCGGGTTGTAACGACCCAAGTGATGCACACCTTAATGACGACGCCCTTTTCAACGAGATCTTTTTGTTTACAGAGTAACTGCTGCTCGAAAATTGACACGTTCGTTCGACGGATGGCCAAAAAAGAAAGAGAGAGGAAAAAAAGGTTTGCGTAGGATAATGTAAATTTCTTTAAACGATTACAATAATAATAGAGATGCACACTCGAAAATTTCACTGCTATTTCTCCGACAAAGAATTCGCGATGCTCGAGACCCTGAACCGCACGCGGTGAAGTAAAACGTGTTGGAGGAGCTAGGAGGATAACAGGAGCACAACGTATAAGGCATCGCAGTGCACCGTGCAGGACAGCGTTGCGAAGCGGGAGCGAGCGAGAGAGAACGGGAGATCGCCGAAGGAGACGGATAGAGAAAAGGAGGGGCGGGGAGAAGAGGGAGGAACAGCGTGTGGCTCGTCCTTGGACTTATATAACGAGGAAGAGACCAACAGGGAGAAGAGAGAAGAGAACAAAACGCCACGGATGGAGTGCGTGGATTAAAAATGAAGGGCTGTTGCTGCCACGTGGACCTGCAGGACAAAGGAATTTCGTGGGTCCTCTTGCCCCAAGCTAAAGTGCTAACATTTTTTACACCTCTCTCTCTCTCTCTCTCTCTCTTCGTCAAAAAGGTGCTTTAATTCCGCTTTGCCACATATTTAATCTCGTCTGTATCAATTGTAACAGGATCAAATTATCTAAGAGATCATATATTTTGTTAACACATGATCGTAATGTCGTCATCTAGACGCAAGGATCATCGGGAGCACATGAAGGCGACGAATCGCACAGGAGGTGAAACGAAAGATGGGTGTTGAGCACATTGAAGAAAATGATATTATTTGCATAAGTGTAATTAATCTTTTTTTAATTAAGTAAAGCTGTTTTTATGAAATCTCATTACATATGGCACTACTGAGATGATTGCATATAAAATAATTCAGATGTGTGAGTCTTTTAATACGCGCGATAATATACGATTTATAATCCGGATTTCTCTGATACGGGAGAGTTGCATAAACTAATTTTGAGATAATTATTAATTTCACGTCGCGAACGACGACGCGAATTATCTCACGGGTAATTGGTTATCCTTGATGTTGGCGCGAGAGAAAAGCAATAAGAGACGACGTCGGTATGCGTAAAGAAAAAAGAGCGGTGGGAAAGAGGAGAGTCGCGACCGTGATCTCTCGCGGAATGAATGCAGAAAGGTCGGGTCACCGCGCCAAACTTGGAAGCGCAATTTACTCTCGTGCGAGACAGGCAATTTATACGCTCTCCTAACAAACATTGGAATATTCGGCAGACTTTACAATTTAACATCCCTGTTGAATCCAGTAGAGGATACGGGAGGGGGCTGGCAAAAGATATCAAGTTTGCTGAACGGGCGAAGAAATATTTTCCAAAGCAGTTATGATCGAAATATTTGTCGCGGCGACAAATGTGACGATCGATTTTCCACACCAGTTTTCAAAATGGTCGCCATCTCGTGTATCTTAGCATTTTTTGGTAAACCTGTTGAAAATCGCGCAAAAATCTCGATATTCGGCTAAACATGGCCCTCCCCATAATAGTACGTTATTTGTGATCCGCCATAACCTACGATGGTAGGCGATTTCGAAGAGAGAATCGCGAATGATAAAAAAACACATTATATTCTAACCTTGTGTCAATTTTCCGCGAGGGGCACCTCGCCGAAGATAGTTACAGATCTTTCGCATCTCGATTTAGCGAGCGGAGCCACGGCTGCATCCGGACGACCGCGCGAGGGTTGAATGGCGACGATGCAGGAGGGTTAATTCGATGCTGCTTGAGGTAGGGCGCGCACGAGCGGTCGGCAGGTGTCGCCACGACCCGGCATGGCCGCAGCTGTCCGCGCGGTCAGGCGATAATAATTCTCACGTGTGCGTTGTCAAACGTGACTCCGATACACGCTCTATGTAGGTTAAAGACACGGCGTTGCGCAACGCTCGTAAGCTAAACCACCTCTCCTGGACGTCTCTCTGCTACTCTCACCAGCGCGCGCGCGCGCGCGCGCGGATTTCTCGTCGACAGATTTTCCACGTGCCGATATGATCGCTCTCCTCCTCGCGCACCCGAGGCGACATCGGGGAGAAAGGGACGACGTACAGTCGCGGCCAAAAGCATGTCGCGTGACATATATTCGATCGACGGCGATTTTCGCGAAAGACAGGCACAATGTCCGGATCGGCCGAAACCGCTCACGAACGCGGTCACTGAACCAGTTCCGTTTCGACCCTGACACTGCCATTGCCCCCCGTGATTTGTGTCAGAGGCTCAATATTGCTGCGCCAACATCCTACCAAGTTCTCACTTACCCCTCTCGGCTGACTCCATCGTCGAACGGGGATGCGCGCGATGCCCGGACGACTAGCCGACCTGGGCGTGAAACGGCGGCACGGGTCGCACGTGGAGAGTCCCGCTCGTGGCTCACGGTGGCGGCTGGCTCAGCTCGAAATTTCTCACCACGGTATAAACATGGCCGGCCGCGCGTTCGCTCGCACGGCTTGTCACAATCACGGTGGGGGGTCGTTGAACCTATCCGTGAATGCGAGACGGCGTCGCGGAAGGGCACCGACAGCGCGTACTTTTTTTCGGGCTTGCAAACGGCGTTGCACCGCGGCTCCGGTGGGCGCGACCTAAAAATAGATCACGATTTCGGCGATTGTTTTGACTAATAACGCGCTTTGCAACCTACTCGCCAGCGGCGCTACTGGGCGGCCCGCCGGCAGCGCCACGCGAGAACTTTCCGTTCGTTATGGCCGATATCAAGCAGGCTCTCAGAAAGCTGGATTTTCCTTACTGCGCCAGAGAAGCTCTGTGCAGAATCGGTATGATTAAACCGCGACGTTATCGCGAAGCCAACTATAGTAAAACTGTTTTCTATTTTCAAGAGATACTCTGCTGCAGACCTGGCAAGCAGGTGGATCTACAGATGGATCTGATATCGGAATTTGTATTCGGAGAGCTGGACAAGCGAAAGAAACGCAACATGACCATGGCGATACAGGAGCTGCAATTGATAGAGATTCTCAGCGATTTCTTCCAAAGTCCAGGTGGTAGTCCAGCGGTACGCAATGCCCTCTTTCTGTCGCTCTTCCCAGCGGACAGTCCTAGATACAAGACTTTAGGTTACTTGGTTTCCTTGGCCATTGCCACGCAAAATAAAGCGGTCCTCAACGCAGCTGGCATCTGGATGCAGCAGTTGGGTTCTGCCTCGTCGCAGAGCGTCGGGCTGGCGAGACATGTGCTCGACGACTATCTCGTTCTCACTCCGAGATCTATCGACAAACTGAAGCAGCTGCCCGTACTCGCGCCACATTTTACCGCCAATTTGCTGACTGCGATAGGTGAGGTTTACGAGGACAAGGATCCACCCACCGAGTTGCTTGGATTAGTAGGCGAGTGGATCGATGAGAATTCGGGTTTACTGTTGACCCCTCTGATGGATAATCCAGCGCTGCCTACCGGTGGAATCCCGATGACACCGATAACACCTATAGCTGGTTTGTTTAGGTATATCGCGACCACAACACAACCGGACGACCGATTGATGACCGAATTCCTCCGTAGATGGTGTATATTGAGTCCTCTGCGAAACGACGGACCGCAACGAGAGGAATCGCGAAAATTCTATTCGAAGGTCCAACAGTTGCTCATGGACTCGGTGTTGAGACTGAAGAACAACGGTAGCAACAAGCACGCGATATCGGCGCAACATCTGGCCTCCACGACGCGCCTACTGACAACCAGTCTGCAGAACCAGCATCCGGACGCGCGCGATTTGGCTATGGAACGACTCGCGCAAGCCGTCAGCGCCGCTATGTCGGCCAACTGTATCTACGGAAATAAGCGTACGTATCTTCCGCGACACGTTCCTCCGCTTTATACACACCGAATGTCTGTTACAGAGGAACTATTGGCGCTCCTACAACCGCTATCTTATCAGCACTTTTTAATAGAATGGACATTGCAAACCTATGCCACCAAAGCAGCCTGAGAGTTTATTAAATGATAACTGACCTTTGTGCATGAATTATATACATGAAACAGTGATCTCTATGAATAAATGTCGCTGATATCAAAACTCTCTCCTCACACATACATCATCTTAAAATGGTTTAAACGTTCGCTTTAATTTCAATTCTTGCAGTCTCTTTTTGTCCAATTCGAATTTTTCTCGCAATTCCGCCAAATCTGCAAAAATTTCAGATAATTACCCATCCGTGCGAAAAATATTCTGTCACGTGCTTACTCTGCTTCTTTGCTTCGCGGATTTGGAAAGTGTAGAAATTAAGCAATCGCTTCTTTCTCTTGCGCTGCTCCTCCTTTTGCAACGTTTTACTCATTGTTGATTCCTTCCTAGTCGGCGCGAACTGTCCTCTCTTCTTTCGCCCTGTTACAGTTGTCCAGCCGTCGTCATCCTCTTCTGCAGTTTTGGCGATACGGTCGTTTACATCTTTGTCATAAGATTTCATATATTCCTCAATTTCCCTCTTTGTCGCTCGCTCATCGCACACCGTATCATTGTACTCTTTGGACCATTCTGTTGACGCGATCGTACAGTTACACACATTTACATACAGTGCAAAAAAATATGACTTACTTTCTAATCCTGTGAGACATGCGTTCTCATCAGTGTTCAATGTCATCACACGATCCATTGAAAGTTCCATCGCCTTATTCAAGGAGAATTCACTCTCGAAAACAATATATGCAGTTTTAAACCCTTTCGCGTTTGTAAATGCAACAGAGCGTACATCTCCACAATGTTGAGCAAACGCGTGCTTCAGACAATCAGTCGTTGCGTACGGCGGTACATTAAGTACAAAGAGAGTTTGGTTCTTGGGATATTCAGGTTGTTGATTCCTAAGGGAGTGCTGCTTGAAAAACAGCTGATGCCTCTCCGTGCTATTTACGTCAAAACGAATCCACAGCGCTTTGATTCAAAATAACGTTACCAGGTTGATTAGGTTAGGTATAAAACGCACGATCATTTAGAAACATACAAAATTCTAATAATTATTACTTACATTTAAAGCCTTTCGCGCCTTGTTCACTGGCTTTCATGTTCAATTTCTAACCAGTTAAATTTTAAAACCGCAGTCTCCTTCTTCGCAGACAAGGGACAGTAGTAGTAGATTCGTTTGCACGATAATTTCTAAGCTAACAGAGGTGTACTACACTCGTAATCCATCTGTATGTGCAACGCATCTCTAGGTATGTTTACTACATCATACTACAGTTCAATGCGTCGTTAGGGCAAAATCATACATCAATCTTTGCTCATTGGCCGGTATTCAGATTTTGTATTAAAAACCGTCTTAAGTTTATCTTCGGATGCTGTCATTTTATTGGCTACGAAGCATCTTGAGACGGTCTAAGTTTCAAATACCGGCCATTGAGTGTTACATCTAGAGGAAATGTTAGGGATTCTAGAAATTTTCTGTCCAATCGGCACGACGTATCTTCAATGAGCGAACATCGATGTTTTACAAACATTGACTATGTTGCAATTGAGCACCATCAATCACAGGAAACGATCAATAAGCGGTCAGTGAGAAAAAAATGCTCGAGCCATTTTGTTTCTTCAGCGTGTCTAATTATATTTTCAATTTCTAATTATTCTTAAGCAATATGAAAAGAGAAAATTAGTCCATCGTACATACATCACATCTCTGATATATATATATATATATATACTAATGGCGTTTTCGATTTGCTGACCCGGGCAGCGTTCCGATAATCTTTGCAGTATCGCAATCTATACTTTGTAATACTGTGGCGATTACCGGAATGCTGTCAGATTCTGCTCGGATCAACAAATCCGGCGTAAGACTTAATATCGCTCTCAAGGTAAAAACGTCAATTTTTTCTTCAAAGAAAAGTAATCAAGCGAGACACGGGTTGTAACGCGGATATTATACTTGCTCGCTCTGCGTCACGAGTAATCAATTGGAATAGCTGGCGACACGCTGCACATGCATATTGCATGTCGCGCAAATGTCAGGGACACACGGGCGTCCGCGGTTCGTTCATTCGAATTTCCTTCCACATTCCTTGCTTCCCCTCTCAAAACAAACAAAAACGAATCTATACTTAACCATAAAGTAGAAAATTAACGGCGCTGTCAAATACGAACAAACTTTTTCTATTATGACGGTGGTTATAAATTGCTTGTCGCTAACCGAATATGGTAACAGATAATCGATTTGGCTGTCTTCATATTCGTGCCCAATATATTTCACCGTGTATATCGCCAATGAATCGTGCTAGCAGAGGGTATGATGTCCTCCTAAAGGCGGACATTTTAACATGTTGCTGTAATGCAACACACAATATTGCGAATGATTCCTGCATGCAGTCCGTGCATGGGAAATAATTTGTATTTTATATAATTGTAAAAAGATTGCGGAAGAGAAGAATGTGAAAGAACGAAACAGAGAGTCGAATCCTCCCTGATTTTTGCATAAACCGCACACGTTTATAATCAATTCGACGCTCGTTACCACACCGGTATTGATCAAAGCGTCGCCTCGACAGTGCGTCCGTAGTGATCGCGCGGTAGTTATGTGCGGAGGAATCGTCGCACGAGCGTCGCGCACACGAAAATCGCTGGGCTTTTTACTGCTGCTCTTTTCGATCGCGCACTTACCGCGACACGCCGATGCGAAAATACTTCGCGGTGACCTGGTGACGAGCGAAGTAATCCTGATTAGCTTGGATCCACACGACCGATTATTGCGCGCTGGGAAAAACGATCGATTCTGTTAGTTATAAATTCCAAACGATTGATTTTCGTGAAACGGAAGATTGTTTCACATAGATTCGTAGAGGGGATATTTTCGGGGGTGCAACCCCCGAGATTATCTCTGAGGAGGGGAGGAATTTTTATCACGCGCGCGCGCGAAATCTCCCGGTGTGGCAACTTTTTCTTTCAATCTAACGCCGGGAGAAATGAGTTAGAAACGACGTGATACTTTCAGAATTGGGCATTCGTCGCGAGGTTCTGCTTCCTGACGGAACGTGGTACGTTCCGGTACCACTTTCAATTGGGGGGCGAGGAGCGTGATCTGAATCTCCTGCTGTATTACGACGCGGCTCACCAGTGGCCCAGCATCTATCCGTCCAACAAGACATGCTGGGAGAAGGAGAGTATCCTCGACATCGACCACGGCCAGATAATACCGCTGAACACATCGACGCGGTTGTCCGGTTGCGTCCAGGGTGACGATGGTGTCGTGCGATGCGACAGCCGGAGGAGATTCATATCGGCCCGGCCGAGATGGTGGTACGTCGCCCTGGCAGACTGCTCCTCCAAGAACGGCTTAAACGTCACGTACTGGATGTCGTTGACCAACGCACCACCCGGCACATTCTGGAGGGAGCACTTCTCCGCGGACGAATTCTGCAAGTGATCTCTCTGCGCGAGAACTCACACTTTCCCAGAGATCGCTCACTTAATCGTTGTTTTGCAGACATACTGCCGGTGCTGATTACGACCGCTTGCATCTATGTGATACTGGTGACGCTCAGTCTCCATATAGCGCTGCAGCTGCGCTCCAGGAGGCTGCTGCATATATCCTACAAACTGTTTGTGGCCTCCCTGCTCTGTCAATTGCTAGGCGTGTTGTGCGAGATCTACAGTTACGTTAATCTCGGCCTGAGAGGAATACCGGCAATCAACGCGTATCTGCTGGGCCAGCTCTCCGAGGCGTGCTCCGAGACCCTCTACACGGTGCTGATGCTGTTGCTCGCGCTCGGCTACACCGTCACCAAGAGCGTCCTGACCACGTCGCAAGTACGATGGCTCGTTACGTTTGTCGGCACCACCGCATTCCTGCAAATGTTGCTGTACATCTACGAGTTCGCGATATTTGACCCGGGAGTGGTGCTGTACATTTACGAATCGCCGCCGGGCTACGGACTGATAGCGCTCAAGTTGATCGCCTGGTTCGTGTTTATCACTCGCTGCTGCAAGACCATCAGGAAGTTAAACAGCAAGCTCCATTTCTACGCTTCGCTTCTCTCCTTGGGCTCGGCGTGGTTCCTCTGCCATCCGTTAACGGTAATATCAACGATTCGCTCAAGATTCTGTGGGAATGTCCATTTCTCTTGCAGGTGCTGACCGTCACGATATTCGTGGACAAATGGGTGAGGGAAAGCGTCGCCAAAGGCAGCTCCCTTTGGATTGTCTTCTTGGGTCACGTAACCTTTTTATATGTAACACGACCGTCCGTGAACAACAAACGTTTTCCATTCCACATTAGAACATGTCAAGTTGTGCCCATAGGCGGTCAAGGGCAAGATCACGGCTATGAACCTGGTCCTCGAACTGCAGTTACAGCATTTACTATCGCACGAACGCCAGCTTATCTTAGCAGTAATTAATCACACTGAAAGTAGATAGTGAAAAGGGAGAGGATAATATGTAGGTAGATGTGTGCAACCACTGGAATGCACTGACAACTCTGTGGCTTAAAAAGCAAACATCAAAATATTTTTCTACTACGGCCCGCAGCGATTACGCAAATCTTTACGCGAGATTGTTCTCTTACTTCTCACTAAAGTCTTTATAGTAAAGTACGCAATGCTTTGTTTCTCACCTTTTCCCTCCTCTCTCTCTCTCTCTCTCTCTCTCCCTATCGAAATCGAGAGATGGAAATCACAAATTCTCACACATGTGTATCAACATAGAAGAATACTTGGATCAGCGTGCGAAGAAATGCTCCGAAAATTATCTACATGATAATGTGCATTCTATTCAGGTCCCATTTTACATAAACTATTAACGCCATCAGTCGCAAGAACCGTCGAGCCAGCCGTCTCTCCATCTTTGATTCACTAGTTTGCAATCAAATTCTGGCTTCATGAGCTTCTTATTCACTGCATTATGAAGACGGCAGAGCCATTGACTCAATTCTTCCTGCGAACTGGTCGCCGGTGGCGAATGTTTCAATTGTTCCTGCATATCCTCGGCGCATGTGTGGCAAGGATAGAATTTAGAAAATGTATAGAAAAAGTTTTTCATGTCATTCATCTGTCCGTTGCTGGGTTGATCGGGATAGTACGCAGCCATGGTATGCAAGAAGGCCCAAGTCTTGGAACCTAATTCATCCTTGTCCAGAGGACAATTCTCCCGAGTACCATTAACCGATGCTTGGCTATCCCGTACCTCCTGTGTAAAATAAAGTAACATACGATTCTTATCGAATATTAAAAAAAAAAACTAGTCTAGAAACTTGATAACAACGATTGACCTAACGAGCTGGTTGAACTAGATGATTTGTCGGCTTACCTTTTCATAGGTTTCTTTTTGTTGTTTCGCCCATGTTCTAAAATCCGTACAAGTACGACATGGCTTTTCGCGCGACATTTTCTTCAGCACCTGACTCGCGTGGAGATTCTCAAGTGTCACCTCTTATAGGTTAAGACGACTCTCGCATGCAACATTGTTAATAATTTTTTAACCTCGCATCTCAACACTCGGGGAAAGCAATTGCGCGCTATTACCGGTAAAACTATACATTGCAATTAAACGTCATGGTAGTCACCCTAAACGTATCTTTATGATGTTTCAAACGATCACTACTTTTGACCGCGGTTATCGGCCATTTTAAAAACAAAGCCAGAGAATAAAAAAATCTCCTCAACTGCCACACATTAAATACTACTCGAGAAAAAAAAAGAAATCTTTTTATTGCCATCGTTGAAGAATACTGTAGGTTCTATAATAGAAAATTTTTGCAATAACATTTTTCAGATACGTTAAATTGCATTCCGCTGTACCCACTGCCAGTAGTGCGAATCTACAGTTTGTGTTGCGTGTCTATGGATTTGAATATTGGAATTTTAGCGTTCACTGCATCTGAAAAACATTATTGCAAAAACTCTCTAAAGCCCGTACTACTACTATTAGAAATTTAACCAATCAAAGTTCACTAAATTTCACTAAATTTGAATTCAGTTAAGTCTTTGCACTGATTGGCCAAATTCAATCACAATCCCCAATCCAGTAGTCTGATACGGGCCTAATGGCTACTGCTCACAGAACGTCGCAACGCTCGCCGCGCGATGGAAGTTCGTAGTCAATAAACTTCTAGTTTTTATCGAAAAACGGCATGTTGATTGGTGCGAATTTCCGCCGCGCGGCAAACGTTGCCGCGTCCTGTGGGCAGAAGCTATTACGTATTAGCATATGTAGGTCGTTTAGGGAATTCTCCGTATCCAATCCGCTTAAATCAGCTTGTCGTAAACACCTTGTGATGGCGTTGAGGGGGATTTATGAAAAGTTCAAAAATCCCTTCGCGTAACGAACGTAATACAACCGAATAGTGTGGGAAGCAGATTGCGGTCGCTCGAAAACAGAATTGCGAATGTCAGTATATTTGATGTTTAATCAAGACGTGATATATAGAACATACAAGACAAAACGTATCATGGGCATAAGTATCATTGGTAGTATTACTGTAGCATTAATTTTTTACCTTGTAATTGTAACAGCTTCAAGCTCTGCGATAACATATATTACATCTTTATCCACTGATGCTGGACACGGTTCGTACAAAACATTCTTTTATGTTACATGTATATGACTTTTTTTTTTTTGCGAGATTTCTTGCCATATCTAATATAAGAATCTCACGTTTTGTTTATACATTTGCCTTAATGAGCTTCTTTTAATCTTCAATATAGCAATTTGCGCATAGTTGTCACTATTAGTAGAATTATACTTTTTCAACAGTTGCATCTTCTGAACATCTAATCATACCAACGGCAATTACTTATCATTGTGAAGTTTTTTTGGTTTTTTTAGATGAACCTATTGTGAAAGTATACAAGGACAATTGTGAATGTATTGAGTTTGATTGCGGATGTTGTCAACATATAGAGTGGGATGCAGTCTCATTAAACGGTACATGTGAGTAATTATTGGAATCTATCCCACATAGCACAAAAGTTAACATTGTGTTAACAATGTTATTGCATATGCAGTGGCTTATTATATTTATTTCATGTTTTTGATTTTGTTTACACACATAGTATGTGCAAATGCAAGCTACTTAGAGTATGAATATGGGATATCAATCACAGTGACATACAATGACTTTACGATTATCAATGAGACAGTCTCAGGTAGTATTTGATCGCGCATTGAAATTTATATGCGCACAATTCTATGGATATTATACTTTAATTGAGATATATATGTGCGTTCTTGTAGCTCGAAACCCACCACCCATTTGCGTCGGAGAAGATATTGTGGATGCAATCCAAATTGATGTTTGTTTCCGTATTTATGACATAGATATTGGGCCTGACAAGTTCCATGCGTGTTTCGAGATCCTAGCGAAATTCATGCATATTATTAATACACCTTCGATAAAATTAGGTTGCATTACTACCAAACTACAAAAACAATTGGAATATATAGACAATAGAGTTTTTCATGTGTTACAATCACATGGTGGTAAGACATAAAAATACTTAATCGTGGTGTAAAGCACATGATAGAAACATTGTGCATGTTGAACGAAATGTAGTGAGTTCACGATGATTTGTTAAACAGTAGTTATGATGTCTGTTTACACAAGGCGTATCTTTATAACAATTGTTTTCTTTCTTTTGTATATCATCGTTTGTTTTAATTTTATTTTTCAATAAATTTGCACAAATTATAGAATAATTCCCGACATATCATCCAAATCTCTTTCTTTTCTTTATTACTTAATTTTACACATTTTTCTCCCCTCTTGTTTCAATTGTGATATTGGATATTTTTAATTCAGCATTGTTATCAGCAGCCTTTTCCACTCGGCAGTGCAATCATTCTGGAAAAAAAAGAAACATTCATCTCTCACGTTATCAATAATAAGAGATATCTGCGGATGTATACATTTATTACTGATAAATGTATGTGTTACATTGGTGTATATTTTTAGATTATTCATGTTAACAACGAAATGTCTGATTGCACTCTTAGTAACAAGAATAAAAATAAAATTCTCCTCAGTTCGTTAATTCAATAGCGCGATCAGAAGCCGCTTAAAGTCATCGCTGCAGTCATTCTGCAAAAATGCAAAAAAAAAACGTGGGAAGATTAAAGTTAATTTGAAGCACATACGAAGGCACGTATTTATTTAATATGTATGAAATACCAAGGGCACATAAGGACATCATGCAATTACGGGCGGGAATGATTGAGCGAGTAAATTTTTGTATCAATTAGTAATATCAAATTCTTTATACTAGTGTACAATGCAAAAGATCATTCCTTGCTCTCGATACAGTTTCGTAGAGGAACACATGAAATATAGAAGTCAGAGGCACAAGTTCCTGAACAATTATTCAAACAAATAATTGTTCAGTTTTTCACACACATTGTATGTGTGTGTGTGTAAGGCGTTCTATGGATGCAAGCCCAAAATGATAATACCAATAAAACTTTATTCACCATCCCAATACCCGTCGCGAAATATAAGAAACTAGCCGAATACTACGAGACGTTATTATTATATTTTACGATGACGCGTATATATATATATAATTCGTGACATTGAAGTACTGAATTTTCGATCGAAAGAAGTCGCGCAATTGAGAAATAGTTTCATCCGAGAAGAGTAAGCAAGAGTCTCTTGTAGTCGCCCGAACAGTCATCCTGAAACGGAAACGGAGTTTATACGAAGTGTTGCGAAACACAGTATGTACGCGCTGGTTAACGAATTATCTCTATCTCGGTTACTTTATTTAGTTGTAACGAATTATGCATGCAAGAGATGTATTTTGCACATGTGATGAAATAATAGCGGAATTATATACTCGATATCTTGGCTAAAGAGCTGAAAATATCGCGTTTAGCTTGTTATAACAATATGAAATATATTCTTACGTTATTAAAATAAGACGATAAATGCATGTTAATCCTATTACAACAAAGCGAGATGTTCGTCAGATCCCGTATTTCGTAAAATTATTATGGTATATATATATATAATACAAAATATTATTGTTAATTATTGTGTTTCCGCTTCTTAACCAATTACATCGTCACGTTTTTCTCATTACTTACATCGATAGCTTCCGCGAGAGATTTGCCGTAGAGTCTCTCGTAAGCCTCTTTGATGTCACCTAGATCGATCTCTGACCGCGTTACAATTATGCGTATTAACGTCGAGTCGGTCGTGCCGATTCCACGCATAGCTTTGTACAGTCTTTCTGCGAAATAAGCAGTCTTATCGCGGGCACATTTTACTGAAAATAAAAAATAGTATGTCAGTGTGTGAGAATATACAGAAAAGGAGATTAAACAATATGTGCTCTATCGTTATATAGCAGTAATTGAAAAATTATTATTAATACCACCTCTCATTTATAACAAAAGAAGGGAAAATAAACATTACATTTGCAATTAAATGTTATATTGTAAAATAAGAGTCATTTTCAAAAATGTACACGAAAATAGGTTCGTTATATGCAAATATATAATATTTAAGATGAGATAGTGAATTATATATTTGTTAACGCTCGATTATTCCTTACCTACGGCCAAGTAGCCATCTTCAAGAGAACCCGAAAATTCTCGTTTAATAGCGTCCTCCAAGCTGTGTCCGGCGATGCGTTCGTATTCTTTGAAGATTCTTCGCAATTGTGGGTAACTCTTGGTGATCAAAATTGCATTGAAAGTACTCTCATCGGTACCCCATTGTCCCTCACCGGCGGCTATAAGCCTCTCGGCATCCTGAATCGCAGCCTCTTCATCGATTTCGGAATTCTCATTTCTATTGGCCTGCGATCGTCGGAACAGAAGAGTAGAAGAGAGAGAGAGAGAGAGAGAGCAGAGCAAAGATAAAACGATTATCGATGAAAGATTACGCATTTTAATGGTTGATAGATATTGGCGTTGATACCGCCGTGAATGATTCATTTTTCAGCTGTTAACTTACACAAGACAATGACACCATGAGCCTTTTAAAATGGCCGGAAGTATCGCTCTTGAGGTCATCTTCCAGTTCCTTTTCGTACACTGGAAATATATATATTTAGCGCCTTTTAAAAAGTGCCTGTCGCTTGCCTATCTCTGACCGATTTGAGAAATAGTATTTTTGTCTTACTGCATGGAACTTACGATCCTTGTAAATAGCTGATATTGTTTTGATGCCGTAATTGCTCAAAGAAGCGAGGACCTCGATGAGCGCTTCTTCGTCGGTACCCATGCCGGAAACGGCGTGATGCAATTCCTTGGCGTACAGTTCGGGAAGAGGCGTCATCAGCGCGCAGATGACTTTCTCGAAGTTCCCGGAAAGTTCCGATTTCAATTCAGAAACAAGGTCCTTGCCGTACATCGTTTTAAATTTGTCTGCAATTTCCAATCTCTGTACGACACCTCGATGAGCCAAGACGTCGATGATGGCCTGCTCATCGGTACCAAAGCCCTTCATGGCAGTCCGTAAGAGGGTGGCATCTTCTTCGGCATCAAAAGGCTCGGCCGGATATACAGTAGGCACGCACTGGCAAGCATTTTAATTTATTTTTGTAATACACACAGTTTTGCGTCATCTATAGCGTTGTCGTTATTATTATTCCGTGTCAAAGGAGCAAAAGCGAATTGTCCGTATTCAATCGTTATTTCAGGGCTAATATCGTTATATGTAGGTCAGTATGTAAGAAATACCTGCACGTGATAATATTGACTGGCCGCCATCTCTTCTAAGTTATATATATCTGAAAATATTTTTAATATGTATTACTTTACGCATTCACAATGAGAGAGGGGGGAGTGGGAGAAGGAAAGAATTTGTTTGGAAAATCTGTCTAGTTGATCCATTAAAAATCAATCGATCAAAAGAGCCCGACTAATCTTTCCTGTTTGAGGAATAAATCTTTCCATTCGACTATAAATATAAAATGATTTTAGCAATAAATGTAGGTCCATACGCTTTAGATTTCTCGGCGCGATGAATTTACAGTCTCTTTCTTCGTATTAATTGCTCTTTATATTAATTTAACGCGACTTTGTGTGGTATAAACTCGCAAAGATCTTTAAGCAATTAGGAGAATAAAATGTTGATTCAACTATGATATACCGTAATTGTGGTTTTTTCGGAAAACTAAGAGGCGAATTCTCGTCTCTCGGTGATTGAGTCGCGTAAATATGCGATCGACGCGCCCTTGATTCGTTTCGCAGGTACGTTAACGTGTATGATGATCTCATCGGGCGGTATCCGCTAAATAACGTCTCTCAGTGAATAACCATCGAATTAGGTGTTGCACTTTGTGACGAGTTAGAAGACGACGAAAAAGTACACTACTTTCGCAGGACAATCGCAGGATTCCGAGGGGATATCGATCGGATGAAACTCTGGGTGTGGCCTTACCTTTCCTGACGATGATCGCTCTATACTTTCTGCACGAATCACGATACCGGTTCTGGTAGCAGACTGACTAGCTGCTCGTGACTCGCATTCGTTCCGGCACGATAGAAACCGACGATGACGACGACGAGAAGTGTTTCGGAAGAGAAGAGGAAAGGAATTCTCGTTGGTGGGGTAATATATATATATATATATATATATGCTTGTATTCGTCGACTACTACATCGATGTATGCTCGCGATATATGCTCTGCAGATGTTAACAGAGATTCAAGTCAATCGAAGAGCTGCTCCTACGGGCTAATTTTTCGAAGATCGTTTGGAAACCTCTGTTTATAGTCTCTGGGAATAATCCGTGTAAACTTTCGGGAGGGACAATATTGCAACTAGGACGAATTGACTTTTGGAATCGGTTCCGCTGCATCGAAGAAACGGTCTCGAAATTAATGCGTACATCAAGTAACCTGTTATACCGAAATAACGAAGCCGGGTCGAGCAATCGTTGAATGCAATTTTTGCCGCATAAAATATTACTATTCAGTGCGTTACGTTGAAAAAAATCAATACTGAATTCAGCACATATATCCAAAATTATATCGAATGATTACTCAATCCGACTTTCGGGATCTGTTGTGTCGATTATTCGAACCGACGCATGCATCGAAACCGATGTAACGGTTATCCGAACCGAAGCTCAAAAGAACGATAAGAGAAAAAAAACAAAAGAAGAAAACTTCCGATGTATAGATAGAATTTCGAAATTCGAAGGCTCGATTGGCTCGCGAAGAGGAGAGCTATTACGACGACGCGATGAACCATCAATAAGGAAGGATCAACAAGAAGGTGCGGTGTGTAAAATATTGATTTTAAATGGAAGTGTCTCTATAGCCCATTAATGTAATTTCCGACAAATTGCGCAAGTATTAGGGAGTTTTTACGATAATGTTTTTCAGATATGCTAAAATGTGTTCCGGTATTCACAGTCTGCCAACATTTCAAATTTATAGATACGCAACACAAGATTCGCGGTGAATATCGCATTTTACCGTATCTGATAGACGGTATTGCATAAACCCCTTACTGTGTAATCCTTTCTTGTCCTCCCACTGATTCCCACATAGATTCGATTTAACTTTTTCTCCCGGAAACCTCGAGTGATGACGGGATAATTATAAAGATGCGATACAAAAATTTCAGTTGAATTATTAATAATTGTGTTAATATCGTTTCCGATAAGAAATGACTTAGCGATTAATCGTATATCGATCGTTCTACGAATATAATGTTACTCACGTCAATATAAAAATATCGCTCTGAAAAGGATTCGCGCAGAATGCTGGCTACGCGTTGGGAGTGGTTCCTCTCACTGTACGCTTCGGTAACTGCTGGGTGGAAGTGTTCCAACGACGGTGATATTAAGGACAACGTTGTTGGGGGATCCGTTGGTGGGGTCGACGACGACGTAATGTCGAGTAACGGTAATGACGTGGGATATCCTGTAGCGAGCGAGAGATGGCGAGTGAATCACGTTCGCCGAATCGACGCCGAACGAAATCGATCGGAAGACGACGATGACGAAAAAACGTCATGAACTGTAGAAGAGCCGCTGAAACTATCGACTACTATCTCGTATTTTTAGATCACGCCAATCTTATCCAATCTTACAAAGGGACGCTTTTAATCATGCCATTTCAATATATAATTGTCTGTTTTCGCGATTCCTTAGCCAGCAACATCATTTACAACAAGATACATGTGATTCATAATTCTTGGTCAAATGAGAGAACGGATTGTGACGCTCTTGAGCATGAAGAATGCGTGACGAAATTAACGCATACGCAGAATGTAATCTCGGTAATTGCGCGTGATATCCTTTGAACCATGTATACAGAGAATATCACGTTTCAAAACGATCGATTTTGTAAGAATAAGCATTAATTAAAGTACGTTTGATTTTAATAATACTGACTTTTTTCAGTCAGTAATATCTTTTATCGCTATGGAAATTATATATATGTATATCATTCGATATATTTAGCGTTGAAAAATAATAAAGTGTAAAATGAGGAAAGAGACGGATTTCAGAATCGTCTCAATGACAAAGATAAATTTCAAATTCTTTAGAAAAGTCTAGATAATTGCGTAAATAGCTTGTGTGTGTATGACGCGCATCCTATGTATGCGCGCATGATGTCAGATTTGCACAATACGCACACCTGCTGAGACTAAATGAATTTACGCGATATTGCAATCAGTAACAATCCTCCGATAAATATAAAAGGTTGTATCAGCATTATACTATAATGATTATATTCTTATTCAGCATTATACTATAATGATTATATTCTTATTCAAATGTATAATTTTTATTTATTAGAAATAGAGATATTTGAGGAGAAAATTACACAGTGGTGCCGTCTGAAAATGTGTTTTATTAAGATTATACATATGGCAAGCGAGGCTTCCAGTTTCCAATTCCTCAAATTGAAAATCCATCTCCTCAACATCATTTCGATACATACATGCATACTGTCGGTACGATAAAAAGTGCATCCTCTAGCATCATGCACTTATCTTATTCCCTAATTTCCTACTAAAAATTTGTCTAGGTATATCACCTTTACCACTTTGACAGAATCGGTCAAACTCCTTGTGCGGATCGTTCCTTTACGTGTCTGAGTGTGTGTGCGTCTCTTCTCTCTTTCTCTCTCTCCCTATATACATATATATATATATATGTTTGTATATATGTGTGTATATATATATATATATATGTATGTATGTATGTATGTTTATGTATACTATACAGCACTATAGTACAGCGAAGAATACTCATTGAGTCATAATCATCTGTTTTTTCATAAATGTGATCTGATAATGAACTTTTTATATTTTGTAGGATATGATATACATAGTTCTCTTAACAATAAAATGTATATTTCTCAACGCGTATCGTAAGAATTTGTAAAAATGAAGTCAACACACAATCTCTACGTACTAAAAACTCTTTGTCAAACATATAAATCACATATAAATCTTATGGTTGCCATATCTAAATTGTGCGCAGCAAAGGAACCGTGTTACACTTACACACACACACGCACACACACCTTCAATTCTTTGTATGCCGTATCATTTTGGCTATACAGGGTGCAGTATGTTGCGATACAAGTCGCTACTTTAATTTTAACGATAGAGTCTGAATACAAAATTCGAACGAATTTGTACTTGGTACAAATTGTAATGAATGTAAAAGTTACGCGAGCTAAATCGAATACAATTTTCGAATTTCAAAAATTCAACTCTGTCAGAGAGAAACGAAACTTGATATATAAAACAATCTTATTCGACACTCACGATTTATTTTTTTCACGCAGGGTTGTCTCATTAGCTGTAGCGATACCCCCTGTATAGTCAAGGCCATCTGTGTTAAGATTGCTGTTCAAATCCCCATAAAAATCATTGCATCGGTGATGAAAAAAATTATATATGACAATAATACAAAAAATATAATCGATTAGTTGTACTATATAATCGATATTAAATATTAAGTAGTAACGCTAATGCGCTGTGTGGATTTTGTCATGTCAATGGGTAATTATGCTTCGTTATGGAAGATTCAAGAATCTGACTTGTAAAACAGAAACGGAAGAATATAATTGGGGAAACGCATTTGTTGTGTGTTAATTGTATTATGTTCTTGATATGTTTTACGTATTTAATTATTACATCATTAAAACATTATCGCAGACGCAAGTAATGCAATGTGCTTTATAGCACTGGTAAAAATAGCTTTAATGGGGGAGCAATGCCACTCACAATAATATTAATATAAGTTTGATGGTATAACGAAGATACTAGTAACATATGAAAAGAAAAAGAGAGAGAGAGAGAGAGAGAGAGAGAGAGAGAGACGGAGATTTGAGTGACAGTAAGATAAGTGACTTAATAATAGCATTAATAATAATCGCAATAGTTGAAATAGCAGCGATAACAGCAATGTTTTTAATAATAACAAAGATGATGTTAATATTAAAGAGACAAAAAAACGTAACAGACATTCAACATAAATTTTTGTATACAAATTACAAAAGACTATAATACAAATCCGCGATAGAGGAGATACGTGATTTACAAATTATTGCATATCTTTTTCGACGGGTTCAATATATAAATAAATGTAATAATCACTTAATTAATAAATGCGCGCGTCACGATTCGTGCTACAATGATTAGTTTCGATATATGTCATGGAAAATCAAAATATCTATATCGTACAATAAAATATCGATTAATCCGTGAATGTAGATTAATTAAAAAACTAATCTCAAATAACAACTACACCACAGAAAATTATGTACTTTGTATAGTAACAATTTATGATAAATAAAACATAAGAGATTCTTCTTGTATGAAATATGATTTATACATAATATGATCCACACATATATATACACAGGATGTACAGCATAATAAGCAACACAATTTTTGCAACGTTTTTGACAGTTTAGAAAAAAGGTTGAAAAGCGAATATTCATCTGTTTCATACAAGCTATACTTGCTATTAAAAAATTGAAAATTTTTTTCATACTGTTGCAGATAATTTTTAGATAAATTCAATGCATTATGGGGGATATCATTTTTGTTGAGATTTAACATCAAACTAGCAGCATTATTTCATTTCATTGCTGCTTTGAAATAACGATTCATATTCACTTTGGAAGAAAATTCGGAGCATACTGATAATCACTCATGATGATAGATATTATGTGTTTACAATGAAAAAATAGTTAAAAAAAAAATGTTCTCAATGTTAACGTTCACGATCAGAACTTGTATGTACTGCTATTTAAAATATAATAATGATGCCATTAAAAAAAATTCAAGCTGATCTTGATGAAAAAAATTGTTTCTTCAAATGTTTTTTTATAAGTTGCAGACGAAAGCAGATGAATATTCACCTTTCAACTTTTCAATCTTTTTTTAAACTGCTGGAAGCGTCCCAGAAATCGTGCGAACACCCTGCATGTGAATATGTATGTGAATAAAATACGAAAATTATCGTATACAGTGCGAAATAAACAATGCACACAAAATTTCCCAAAAATAAATAAATTATCTATAAAATATAAATTAGCAATAAGATTACCTTTTCGTTATTAAATATAACATTGCTTTTCAGGTTTTACTACCAATTCGCGATTGTTTGACTGTCGCGAGTTTCATGCGGGTTTGAATAAATGTTTTCTAAAACACATAAACACATAACTCACATTTTAACTCGAGAATGTAACACAATGCGAAAATGATGCAGTTAATAAGCGAGCATAGAGATGCATAGAGCAAACTTTGTAAAACCACGTATAAACCCGCGTTGCACACCCTCGTATCGTATCCCGTAGCATCGTAGTATTGCAAGAAGAAGCAAACAATAAAGTGCATCATATTTGCTTCTCGTATACGTGATGTACATCACACAACGGCGTATTGTCTACCGTATCATAAGAGTCGATCAACTATTTTAACGCGTGGTGTTACATCTTTCTGACTACATTCCATAAATAACACGCGAAATACGATATGCGGCAATATGATGTACGTTACGATACGCGAGGATACGCAAGTCTGTACGCAGTTCGCAGCGTTCAGACACATCGTAAGATTACTGTGAAGCTAAAATAAACATATGTACAAGTTGTTCCAGATCTTCGTAGCACTTTCTCTCATCTCTACGCGGATTCTTTGATCAATTTATAATTGTTCTTCCGTCGTTGATTCGGATATTCCTGCAAAACTATCCACTTGGTTAATTCATCTTCAAATTCTTGCTAAGGATCTCAAAAATCTTGTTAAAGATTCATCAGAAAAATAGTGTTTTGCTATTTAATATCGCGAACGTCGCACACAAAGAAGTATAAAAGAAATATTAATGAAGTCGCGAAAATTCATCATCCAACAACAGGCCAAAGAATGTGCGGGCGAGAGAGAGAGAGAAAGTGCGTGATGCCTGATAGACTATCTATCTATTCTATATGTTCGCGTTGTGTGAGAAAGAGATAGCAGTTGTTAGAGGCGATGTTGGGTCAAGATTTAGAGAATGCATGTAAGGAAGTAGTTGGTCTACTTGTTGGAAGAATATCATTCAGCTTTGTGTTTTCTCTCATTTAGACGAATTATTCGCACGGAGACGCTTGTATGAAATCATTTCTCTCACAATCACTTTGGACAGTCGCCGCCGTCGTTCCACTATGTATCTTATACATAAGAATGATGTACTCATGTACGGCAAATTCAACAATAAATGTATGCCTTTTGTATAGAACTGAACAGAATGAGACACCTAACTTTACCATCTCGTAACATCACATAGAACAATTGTACGACAGACCTTTACACAAAAGATTGCGCGCTTGCAGATCAGAGTGTGCTGGGAAAAGTGGATGCTTAATCTATAAATTTAATTTTACTCTTATTGTATGAATCTGTTGTGCGCGTGCAAACATTTTTCAGAGATTGCGAGAATTACGCTATTCGTCTTATATCTAAGGAGGTGTTGGTAAAATAGAGAAATCTGTAGGTGAGCGAAAAATTAAAATGAAGCATGTCATTTTATATTATACAATTACGAATTAGAAAGAATATCAGAAGACATGTAATTATAGAAACGAGAGAATGTTTAAAGAAAGAGACATATGATATGTCTCTTGTCAGTCATATATAAAAATGATTTGAAATTGATTTTCTTATTGTCCTCATTTCAATTACCCTTTTGGTCTTTCTTTGTTTATATATACAAGCACTTTCCCTTTGCGCGCGTCTTGTGCCAAAGTTGCAAAAGTTACATCGCGATTCCTTTGATGTTATTATTCGGAAGTAAACATTTGTATGCAGTTTCTGAAGAATCCTGTCCTACGTATAAAATCTGCAAGTTTAATAAAATGAAAGTAAAAAAAAAAAAAGTCATAATACATATTTTACCAACACAAAGTTCGTCGAATGACCTCGAGATTTTATAAGAAAATCATACGGGCTTGTTTAATCCTCCTCCATTTCCTTTTACCTTTCGCTGATGAATATTTGTCGCCTCTTAGCACACAAACATGGAGATATATCTGTCGCGAGACGACTATCGCACGAGCCAAAACCTTCTTCTGAGATCTTGTTTCGGAAACTTTTGTCTGAAAATCATCGGAAAAGATGTACGAGACAAGATTTTAAACTTCCGAAAGAGGAAGCTTTAGGGAGAGAGTCAAATGCAAATTTTCGGCTAGATCAGTAACTCGGTTGGACAAAAGGTAAGAAAAAAAGATGGTAAAATTAAGTGTCCTATCCTGTGTAACAATAGATTATGGCACGAAACTTATTTCTAAAGAGAAACGCTAACCGTTAATGTCAGGTCGATTCATATATAAATACATGTTAAAGGAAGTAATTTCTTCCGTGCTATTTTTTCGAGACGACTCGCGCGCGCGCGCGGTATGCCCTATAATTTTCCGTTCGATTTTTGTCGCATCTCCCCTTTGTATTATCTATTTCTATTGTTCATTCGTACATCGCGCTTATAGTATAAATACAAAAGACCCAAGAAAGGCATTCTTCTTAGGTTTCCTACTTGGTGCAAACTTAGGTTTGCAATGTATGCGTAATTTCTCGATGTATAGTTACCAAACCCTGTATGAAGCCATCTAATCTGGCGTTTAACGTTTCCAAATTTTGCTTTTGGACCTTATTCGCACTCATTGCAATTTCTAATTGTTCGTGAACTACATTCAACATATCGCGAAGTTCTCCATTCTCCTTTTGCAGAGCCTTACAAAGAGAAAAAGATATCAGTTAAGCGAGCAGACACGACGCGCGTATATAGAAGTGAGACAAGAGAGTTATATTATCAGAATAAAAAAGGGAAAGAGAGAGGGAAGAAGGGAGGGAGGCAGAAACCGTTCGCGTACGTACCACAAAATCCTTATTTTTATTGGCCATCGTAAGAGCTTTGATTTCTTCATTTCGCGTTCTCAACTCACTCTCCAATGCTTCGACTCTCAATCTTAGAGCTTCGCTGTTTCCTTCTGCAATTTTCCCAGCTTCCAAATCAGCATACTTGGCTTTTATCCTGGCGTTTTCTTCTTTGTACGATTGCAGCTGCCTCTTCCATTCGTCTACATTAGCTGTGGATTCTTGTAACGCGCTCGTTAATCTTGCATTGCTGGTTTTGAGAGTAGTTAACTCAACCTATAATATAAAATTAAAAATAATTCCGTGTAATTCGCACATTACATCCACTCTGTGTCTTACAAACAAGAGAGATGCCGCCAAAGGAATTCGTACCTCCCATTTCTTTGCGTTAGCAGAGCTTTGAGCTAGAGCGAGTTTCAGCCTATCGTTCTCATACTTGAGTTGCATCTCAGCGGACTGCCCACTTTGCGCCGAAGAACTCAATTGCGCCGATTTCCCTTGATGCTGCGGACTATCTGTACTCTGCTGAGAAATACTCTGTGATCTTGAATGGACTGTGTTTTTCAATTCGTCGTCCACTTTATTCAGACAACTACCAGGTAAAGGACTGCTGCTTACCGAAGACACACTGTTCTGAGCGGAAATCATATTGGCATTCGGGTTCGGGTTGTTTGACGCTGACACATTGGAATTGATCATCGAGGAATTTGGTGGATCGATCAGATCTTGTTCCGACGACGGCATACCCGATCGTGAAGTAATGGGGCTGACATTTGCACTGGTGGCCGGTGTAACCGAAGAACTGTTTGACTGTAACTTGGCACTAGCTAACTTGGTGGCTTCTTTCACCTCGTGAAACTTTTCGATGAACTGCCAACAAAGAATATTGCTCTGACATAAAGATTTGTGCTCCTTGATGAATGCAAGCGATACAAACCTTGCCTAGCTCAGCCTCGGATGAGAAACCTAAGCCATATACGGTATTTGCTCTAACATCCGACCACTGGCCAAATTTTTGCGATGTTTTTGTGAAAGTCATATTTGGAGTAATTGTGCTATTTATAACAGCCTAGAGAGCAAAAAAATACATACATGTATATGCGCACAGATATATGCAAACACACACGTGCATCACGTATGTTTTGATCCTATCGCTATATCAATCAATGGTCACTCATAGTCACCTTTGTCCCTTCAACCGAAATTATTCTATACAAACTTCTGGTGGAATCATAGAAGAATGAAACTGAAACTGCCGCCGTTGACGCCGATACCCAGGACCGCTTGGTTTTTGGGTCAATGTGAAATACGTGCGCTTTGCACGTAAAGATTGGTTGCTCACTGTAATCAATTTAAATGGTAACAGTAGAGTACATGTAATCTTCTATATATGTTTGTGTGTGTGTGTGTGTGTGTGTGTGTGTGTGTGTGATACAAAGCATCTATTTTTATCTGACCTCATTAATGCAACTGCACGTTCAAAGATACAGGCGTAGAATTGTTGCGTGAAATGACAAAGAGAAAATGCACAAAACATGTAATGGAAATATTTATTTGTAATGTGATATTAGCGATAAATAAAACAGCGAATGTCGTCTGTTTGTTAAAATCTCGTTATTGAAGGATATATCTTTTCTCACATCGCCGAATATGTAGAAAAAACGAGAAAATTTAGAGGGAAAGGGAAAAAAGTATTCAGGAAATTGCAACATAATAGAGAGATTAATATTAGATACACATCGTGAATATAAATGTTTGTTTAATATACCACATTACTTACACAAATACAAATGTTTTGAAAATTCTTTAGCCCATTTTTAGACATTTCTTCGTCAAGAATTAACTATTCTCTCCAATTATAAAAACAACAAAACGGATGTCGGCCGAATGAATGTTTGCAGGGAGTTTCGTTAATCCGCTATTAACAATGTTTTCGGGACTATCGTCGACGATAGGGAAGACTAGCGCTGCATGTGTTGCAAGTAATAAAATCTGATGGATGGGATATGCACGAGGGAGCGAAATACACGCAGAAAACGGAGCACAGGGGCATTGCCTCGTGTGCATCTAGCGCGAGTGATCTAGTTCTGCATGCAGGCCGGTGATGAGCGCATTAAGAATAATTCGTCGCACGCACACTACGAGGAACGAAAATTAGTCGGTCGCGTATACGTGCACATTACACACCCTTGTACAATCTTTGGAGTATCTCGCCGGAATTACTTACCCCATCGTTTCCTTGCCCGATGTCATATAAGAAGCTCCCTAATCGAACGGTCGCATAAATTGTGCCGCGTTTAGTGCGCGGCGGCTATTTACAGACAGGCGGAATTTTCCAAGAAACGGCCGAGAACCATCCGACCGTGGGCTGAGATACGCCAGTTGACAGCCGCCATCGGCCGAGTTCTCTATAGCGAGCAACGGCGACGATCATGTGACAGCATGAACGTAGTCGCGCGAGTCTTTCCACGGTCTGCCTGGATTTAATCGATTTTCCGCGAAAGGTTCTACCGTTAACCTCGCTGTAACTCACAGCGCGCTCCGATCTGTCAAATTCACTAAATCCACTAAACACGGAATTCGCGGAAAATCACGCGCGCCTATCGACACTAAAAACGGGCGGCCACCTTTAAGGCTGAAACACAACTATGCGACCACCACCGCTCCCCCAATAGTTTCTATTACTATCCAAAACGTTTTTTTGAAGGAAAATTTTACTCGGTGGCCTCTAAAGCCCGGATTATGCATACAGAACATGGAAATGATTGTCGCACGGCAAGAAGCGACGCCAATAAACTTTCAGTTTTTTTTTGTCGTTGGAAAAAGGGCACGTTAAGTGGCGTCGCTTCTTGCCGCGCGGCAAACGTTGCCGCGTCTGGTGGGGAGAAACCATTGGATGAATTAAAATTTGGCCAATCAGAGTAAAACTCGCTAAACTTGAATTTAGCGAACTTTGTTCTGATTGGTTAAATTTTTGTCTAAGCTCAATCCATAGTCTGATACGGGCTTAAAGGGAGGTCTACAGAACCTTAAGAAATTGACTAATCACAATTGATTATTCTCCTCATATTCGATTGATTAATTTCTTACGGCTTCTGCCCACGCTTGTCGCGCGGCGGAAGTTAGCTAATAATAAACTTCTTACCGTTCGGCACGTTGATGGATCATAAAAAAGAGAGCAGGTTAGTACAAAATGACGCATAGTTTGGGCGCTCATGAGAAACAAAATGGCGGCTTTCGGCGAAAATATTGCGCATCTATTGATCGCGCCTTCTCTATTTATCTAGCGTTCCACTTAAAACTCGTAACGATGCGAGCGTTAAGTGGAACTCTACGTTCCACTAATCTCTACAGTATCGCAACTTATAATACACGTAATTTGAACTATAAACAAAAAGGTTACTGGAACGCTACCGTCGGGTCAGCAAATCGAAAACGTCATTTGCCCATTTAATTTTGGTATTGGGGCTCTACGAGTTAGCCTGTAACTAATATTGAGAGAAAGAGAGATATTTTTTCCCAATATTGCAATTCCATCACATCTATTGGCGCTACATCCCACATTTGGGCCTACACCTCTCTCTCTCTCTCTCTCTCTCTTACGTATTGCATGTGATGCGCACGCAGATTGTACACGTAATGCATACGGGACTTACACAGTTTATCGCTGGTTTCGAACGGCAGATGGAGAGAGGTTTTGCATGAGATACTCTTGGTGGTTTGCCAGATCACCGAAGAGAGGAGCTACGAGCGTATGGAAAATTTTCCTGCCGGAGAGGGGGGGGGGGGCCGAATCTCTAGCACGACAGACCGATTCGCTGCCTACCGTGTCATGCTCGCGTTCAATTCTACCACATAATATACATAATATATTGTGATATTGTCGATTATTCAACTTGATCATGGGTTGCGACGGTGGAACCATTCCTCGCAGAGATGAGCTTGTAAAAACGAAAAAAAAGCCAGAACAAGTAAGTTGAGAAGATTTATCTTAACCTTATTAAACTTGGAGCAAACTTTACATCTGTTCAACTTGGTAAAAAATTGTCGGTAATATATCAGATATTGGAAAAAGATCAGTGACATTGAAAGTATTATATTTCAATCCGAATTTCTATTCTGTAATCTTTAGAAATGTCGTCATTGTTCATAAAAGTACCAAATGTAGTGTCTCTTTGGCAATCAACATCTGATACATCTGTTGGCATTTGGATCATTTATGTCAACTGTCTGATTTGCAGAAGGACAAACAAGCAGAATTGGCTTTCAAATGGAAGCACTGTGCGATACGACAATTACCATTGCAACCACCGGTTGTAGGTTGCAGCCTGGGACGTCTATATACCAAAGAATCTGTATTGGAAGGTCTTTTGGATCGCAATACGCTTCCTGACTCAGCTGTGCATATTAAGAATCTGAAAGATGTCAGAAATCTTAATCTGACACCGAATCCAGCATTCAATGGTGATAGAGCTGAAAAAGGCGATGGTTACACAGATAGAGTTGCAATGAGCAGTCCATACATCTGTCCAGTTATTGGCCTAGAGATGAATGGAAAATACAAGTTCTGCTTTTTATGGTCATGTGGCTGTGTTATGAGCGAACGGGCTCTGAAAGAAGTAAAAAGTTGGGTAAGTTATGTTTTTTAATATTTCTAAATTAGAGATTATACGATATGTAGTGTATACAAATGCGTGTTTAACATAGTAAGAGACTTATATGTTGAACATTTCACACACAGTCATGTCACAAGTGCCAGCAACCATATGAGGATGTGGACATAGTTGTATTAAATGCAGAGGGCGATGATCTGGAACTCATGAAGGAACGTGCGGTACTTAGGAGAATTACTCAAAAGAAGTCAAAGAAGAGGAAATCTAGCGACGTCTGTATGACAACAGGAGGAGAGGGAAAGAGCAGTGAGGGAGACGATCGGCTATCTGCATCAAGAAAGAAGATCAAAAAGGAAGACAAAGTAGTTCCCAACCTGATGAACAACCCAAGCGACGATCCTGCTTACAAGAAAGCTAAAAGTGATTACAGTATCGCAAAGGATCCTAGAGCGTCGGAGGTTTTCAAAAGCATCTTCACTTCTCATAAATCTGCCGTAGAACAAGATAGAGCGCACTGGGTTACATATAACCCGTTTTATAATTGATGTATATATGAAATACGAGTATAGTTTGATACGAGTTAAAATTAGATTGCCAAATGTTGACGTTCTCTCTAATTATTTTGAAAGCCAGATATTAATTGATTTTCGCGACTCGGACAAGCTCCGATAAGAAATCCGATCAATTTTATTATTCTCTCAATGAATGTGCATGATTAGGTGAATAATAAACGAATGTTTATCAAAATATATGTATATTATCTGTTGATTCACTTTATACTATTATACACATCATAAAAAGGCACGTAATATACACACACACACACACACATCATAGATACAATCTAATGTATACATGTCGAATATTCGTCGATATATTAACTAATCGAGTGCTTTGACGCAAGACATGTTTCGCATTTGTCTCTCACATGATCGATGTAATACATTTTTGTTGAATAATCATTCAGCTTTACATCTGTGGTACTCTACGCATGGCTACGATAGCTTGAATGATCCTACGAATTCTGCCAACAGTGCGTTTCCTCCGGGAATGTCTCTTCGTTACCAAACACTGATTCCACAAATACACGATAAATATCACTACAATAATTATTCCTAATATAAAGCTCCATTGATTTACGATCACTGGATTCAGATTTTCCTGCTGAACGTCCTGAATCCCGTCATAAGCCACACTGCCAACGCCAACATTCTGCAATGTAGGTATGCTAGCACCACCGACTCGTCTTTTGAGCCACAAAGCGTCTGTTTCTTCTTGCAGCATTGGATTGCCCATATTCATGGTGTTGCTTACAGAAAGTACCTTGTGGGACTTGTAAAGATTTCTGAAAGAATGACAGTGCATTCGAGTGAGCATTGTGAAACTCACAGTAAGTACATCCCCGCGCTTAATTTGAAGATGACTGATAATAAAATAACAAATATGTAATTTACTTCAGTGTATTGAAAACATACACTGGTCTGTTCGCAGCTTCTGGCTGAGTCATCTATCCACATGTCACATGATCGGGATGTAATTTTCTTTTTATTTCGATTTTTCCCTCCTTTTTTTTTTAGATCTCACAGTTTTTTTTAAATCCACAGTCTGGGGACGCATTCTCTTTCTCACGTTATCGCGATGGATTTGTCGAGTGCAAGCTGTATGCTTGTCAAGTGACTGCGCCGACATAAGAGGAGGAGGGGGGGGGNGGGGGGGGGGGGGGGGGGAAATCACTACTTACATTGGCACAGTTTCATTGACTGGTAGTGGTACAGCATAAACAGCTGTAGGACACGATGGGAGAGATCTAAAACCGCCGCCGCCCGTCGGTCCGTCTGGGTCCAACACTTTGCTGTGACGGCTCAAATGATTTCCTTCCATTCGACGTGGTAATTGTCCAATCTCCAGATCGTCGGTTGTTCTAATAGTCTTGCGTTTCGTTTCGTTTTCATCCGTAAAAACGGTAGGTATGTAACCCGTCGTAGTATATTCCAAAATAGCATCGAGCATCCAAAAACATGCTGTGAATGTGAGAGTACGGTATAAGTACCATTAGTAATATGTGCTGGTACATATAATAAATTTTCAAGTAAGAAAAAAAATGTACATGGATAAGGCACACGACTCGTGCGAGATTACACCTTGTAAAAAAAAAAAAAAAAAAGTTTGTACATTAATCTGATGCTGAAAATTACGCAATATGCTATACATCTGATGCTGAAAATTACGCAATATGCTATACATTCATCGCGTTATAGCGTGCGTACATTTTTGCAAGTGGCTGTCGTCGATACAATTTGAGTCTCCGTAAACGACAAGTCTACCAGGTGCAGTATTCGTGCGCTTTATGTCTCTGACACGTTTGTTCTTTTCCAAGTGTTTCTCGTCCATCATCAATGCTTCAATTCGATCATTAATTTCGTCATACATTACGTCTCTCGTAACGTCATTCTCATTAGTCACTTGCAAAAGTCCGAGGATAGGCACGAGCGTAGGCATTCCCGATTCCTTTTCCAAGAGAAACTCTCGACCTTGATCCAGTAATTCAACGTACACGATCACTCCGTCCTTGGGAAATCTGAATGCACATTCAAATTTCTTTCTTCTTACCGCAAGCGACTTACTCACTGTGTTATATATTTTCTCCGATGGACTTACCTGGCGAGCGTGGTACCGGACGCAAATGTGACCGGTGCATGTTGGCCGAGGGTAAACTGACCGTTTCGCACCTCATCGCCAAATGCCACACCCCAGTTAGGATAGAGTAAATCATTTAAAGCAGGAATATTTGCACCTCCCGTATCAGGTATCCACCACTGGCGAGTGTTCTCGTCGTAAAACTTGGCCTTCCGCATGACCGTCACATTATACCAATCTGCAAACACGATCACTGAGAGACCATCATCTTCCACATCTCGCTTCAGCTTGGCCACCTGCGCAGGTTGACAAAACACAATTTTAAAATCGCGATATCACACTGATAAACAGAATCGTGCGAAATTTCCAGAACGCTTTACTTCTGCGGGAAAGAATTCCTCCTCCGTATCTACGATGAGCAGTGTTCCGTAATTTCTCGCGTTGAAACAAGTGAAGGGATGGCCGAGCACTTCGAAGTAATATCCGGCGTTACGTAGATGTTGATACATATCCTTAAAATTGGTGTGTATATGATCTCCATTCCAATCGAGAGGGTCATTCTTTACGCGCAAGTCATCTCTGGGGAAATATCCGGGTGGATAGCGCAAGTTATGATACTGATCCCATAGAATACGTTTGCTGAAGACGAGAAAGAGGAGATAACGATTCGATGAAAAGGAATGGTCCCGTTCATTATCATGCGCCACTACTTTATACTCACTGTCTAGGAGGTGTAGGTATAACTTTTGCCTTCAACGGAAGTTTTATCGTCGACTGCCGCGGCTTATCTTCACTGTCGCATGCCGGCGACTCAATCGTGACGGAGATATAGCCTGTGTGCGTGAAAATAATCTACCTAGTAATAACGTGTACAATATTAAGCGCATTTCGAAAGAAGTGAAATGTCATATAAACCGTGCGCGATGCCTTGCCAGTTGCGGGATGTCGACGGTACTGTTATGGCAACTGCTAACCAGCCCGACCATGGCCATAGAACATCGCTATACGTAAACGCCACGTCGATATGCTGGCCGTTGCCGTCACTGACGTACGGATGCCAAGTAAGATTCACCACGTGTCCAGATACACCCAAGCCGTTTATTATAGTCACGTTTACTATCGTCGGCATGCCGGTATGGTACACAGCTTGAGTACAGTACGGCCACATATATTGACACTCGGTCAGGTCTATATAACTGTGTAAAATCGTCGAGCGGTAAAATAATAATTATTTAAAACAATTCATCAAAACATCGGCAATAAACTCTCGAGTGGAGTAACCCCAGTGTTCTTTTCTCGCACAATCGGACGAAGCAGCGGGATGAATGGCGCGGCCCAGATGGGCGTTTCGAGGAAACTTTGAGTATATATTTGTTTTCAATGAAAGGCTCTTACCTCGGGCTAAGCGTGACGATAGGAGTGTACGATTGCAAAAACTGAAACGCCCGCAAAAGATCTAATTTTCCCGCACCTTGTTCAAACATTCCGATACCAGGTAAGCGACGGGCTGATCCTAGTAACGCTTGCTTCATACTCGCTGGCGTCACCTTAAATAAACGTTCATGTTCGAGTGGTTGATATTACCTTACGTTCGTCGTGATTACCTTCTGTTTGGCAGATTCGCCCGTTTCGACAAATCCGCTAGCTAGGAGCGCAACAGCACCAGCGACAACGGGACTAGCTACGGAAGTGCCGGAGAGAGTTCTACACCCTTTCTGCAAAGCAGATCCTTTCACTCCTGATCCGTATGTAACAAGATCGGGTTTAACTCTTCCGTATCCGGATGGCAATTCCCACGTTGTCATGCCGCGCGAAGAAAATCTCGCTATTTGATCGTCCCAATTGATACCTCCTACGCCTATTACGTCCATTTGATCGGCAGGATTGTTCAAAGTGCTGGATCGAGATGTAACGTAAGGATCAGCGCTATGTCACATGTTGTGTTATACGTACCCGTATAAAGGCCCATCGTTGCCGATCGCCGACACCATAATGACACCATTAGCTGTAAGCTCCCACACTTTATCGACGAATGGATGATCCATAAAATCCGGACCCCCGATGCTTAGATTTAACACTGTCACCTTGCTGAGTATGGCGTAATTGAATGCATCCAAAAACCACGAGGTATAAGATACCTGTGTCGAGGGGGGAAAAGAGAGTGAGAGAGAGAGAGAGAGAGAGAGAGATGAGAAAGGCGTGAACTTGTATAAATTGATGGCAAAAAGAACGGTACCTGAGCATTTGTGAAAACGCGAAAGATGTGCAATTCCGCGTCCGGTGCAAAACCCAAGCAGTCCCTGGAAGTAGACGCAACGACACCAGCCACGAATGTCCCATGGCCTAGGCCATCTTCCAGAGTCTTCTCGTTCGTCCAATTTGATCTCTCTTTGATCTTCTTAAAGTGCGGATGACTAATAGCCAGTCCAGTATCGAATATCGCTACTTTTATACCCTTTCCGGTAATACCCTTCGCCCATAATATATCAGCCTGGAGAATATGTGTGATTTGTCTCGGTATGGCTCTTAGTAGTCTGCGAGACGAGTGACGGCTGTTCGACTGCAATTGCTCGAGCACATTCTGCATATCCTGAAATTAAAATTTTCTATTATCGCGCACACACATAGTATATATATATATATATATATATATTTATCAAAGATGTGGCGCTTCTTTCTAGCCAGATTATCAACTTTCGCCAGCTTTGTTCTCACTCACATAAGTATTGGTCCGTCTTTTCTTCAAGTTTCTATATTCAGGAAAATCTGAATCTTCCGTCGTTGTGTTGATAAACTTTAAACTTCTACGTACAAGTCTCTGCGGTGTTACTCTCCTCACAAGCGGATGGTTATTCAAAGCTTTCAGCCCGTGATATTTGACTGTTTCCTCCAATAATATGATATCAAAGTCGCTAGGGAAGCGAGATGCCAAATTGTCACGATGTAAAATTGTCCAGTTGTTAATGCCTGATGAATTTAACGCTGCTCCTATGTAATTCTTTCGCGTGTGCAGTTTGTAGTAACCCTTAAACGCGACTATATACTCGTTCTCGATTATCTTGGAAGAAAACTCGACTTGGATTCGTTGTATATCGCAGCAAGCACAGGAGGATACAGACGATGAGTTACAGTCAGATTTAATATAGTCTCTATCATTATACTCTCTAGAATGGTTGTCAAAACAGAATGAACCAACAAGGAAGCTAAGTAACAGTATCCAGGAGACATGTAGCCAGCATGTATGCAGCTTCATACTATTCGGTTGAAATATCGAATGTATATCATACTTGGTAAAAATTACAGCGAGTAACAAGATACAATAAGATGATCGGTCCTACAACGATTCTTCCGTTTCTCGCTCGGTGTATTCATTATTTCATCTTTCATCATATTAATAAACGACACAAATGATCGATCAGTAATTTGCGTTTTCTCAACTTGTTCCACATTCAAAATGAGGATTATCGAGTCACTGTTGGTTATGTTACTCGAGTAACATTTCGAAATAATTTCGAAAAAAACGTAGTCACACACGTTCGCAGGATCCTTTTGCACTTCTTCTTCGCATCTTAACCTCTTTGACAGGCATAAAGTGACAGATTCTTCCCACGGAGAAATAATTCTTTCACATTATTCCACTAATAATTTATAGACTTTTAGTACATTGTAATCACAAGCTGTTTTGCGTTGCTTATACAGGCGATTAAAATTATTATTCCATCGACATGGACAACTTATGCTTGATGAAAACTATATTAACAAATGAACCATGTATGTAATCAGGGACGTACTTATTATCAGAAAGAATTGCATTTTACTCTTTTGGAATGATGACATATGGTTTTACCAACCTATTTTGTCATCTTCTCCTCAAAAGAACATCAGACTTCCTTTCTACCTTTAATTCTGGTGGCAGACGGCCTGTCGGCTTGTATCGCCCCAACACCACTCACACTATAAGTCTGTTCTTTTTAGTTGCACTGCTGAACTGGTGAAATAAGTTGAAGTGTGAAAACATACACTTGTCTCAATTCAACTTATGTCAGTAGTTTAGCAGTGCAGCTGAAAAGAACAGGCCAATTGTTCAACTAACAGCGAAGCAACACTGGAACAGACTTAAACAAATTATTACCTTGGAATCCTTCAGTAATACTGAAGGATTAATACTGATTTCCAATTTCGAACATACGACGACTGATAGTCGATAGGAGAATGTGTTTTCTAGAAACATTATTTTTTCTAGTTAGTAATTAAAAAAATGAAATCTTTATGCACCCACGAGATTTATTCAGCTGCATCTGTTGCGAATAAAAGAACGCATTTCAGGTGTCAAGTGGTCTAGCGTGGATTCCCGAATGCACTTTTAGTGGTAAAATGATGTTGGAGCACTGTTGGTAGCCTGTCACATACTGAGAGAGAGAGAGAAAGAGAGAGTGCTGCATGAACACGCGTGTACGAACACCGTAGGTATGGTAGTGGTGTGTAAAATCACAGTGCGTAATTATTTGTATTATAAGCTATTGACAGGGATGTTAATGTCAATCTGAACGATATACATCCTCCACAACATGTCTCTATGCTTTCGCGTGCTGCCTGGCAGGCTATTATCGTTCGTCAATAGCCGTAAATCACTGTCGAAGCTGGGCCGTTATCAATTGCGAAAGAATACAGGATCTACCTTTATGAAGCAAGTATGTACATAGGTTGCCATCTATTAATTATTATTTTAGCTTCGTTATTTTATGCAATCTCCAATTTCTAAAGATGATTTCGTATCGAGTAGCGTTATTCCGGCGCTGCTAATAAAACCATTCTAACCTCTAAACTATGCTTATATAATTATATGTTTTTAACCTTGGATCTGTTTTTCGTTTTTCTGAACTAAGTTGCACTTTTTTTTTACTGTTAGGATGAGACAAGTATGTAATTTACCATTGAAGGATAAAAAAACGAAATTCCAGTGCAGCCTTAGTTTAGGAACAAAAATAGACTTCTTGTTCAGCCAGATTAGATTGTAGCCAATTCGCATAATTTAAATTCCAATAATAGTTTTTTTGGCTAAAAGTACCAAAAAATGTATGCAGCACGAATTATTTCGACTTTAACATGCTTTAGAAGGATAAGTAACATGTACTTCGAATTAGGTGAGATTTACAGTTTCCGAGATATTTCATAGTTAAAGATATATAACTAAAAAGTAAGGCTGATAGTAGACCACTTTAGAATATTTTCTCATAATATGCATACTGTTACGCTCAAAAATAATAAGAGATGTATTTACAGTTGTTATGTTTACTATTCCTCTACTTAATGTATTACCAATATAGTTTTTGGCTTTCAAGTTAAAAACAGATATGTAACTACATAAATTTGTTAGCTAAAAACAGATATGTAACTATATAAATTTGTTGCTATATAATCTTTTACTTTACAAAATTAACGAATCTATCGTATACTAAATAACAAATACGAAAGAAATTTGCTCCTAAACAAGAGAGTTTATTTGGGTTTAAATATATTTGTAGATTTTGTAAAGGGATATTTCGAAAAGATGTTGTACAAGCTTTGCACAAAAGGCCTATTAAGCCTTACAACATTACAAAATTGTTACCGAAGAAAAGTAACTTGTTACAAATAATGTGTTACTTTACAACCCTGATTTTAGTATATAATAGACTCATCAATTTAGTAAGGTAAAATATTCAAACATGTTTGACAGGCTGTTCATGAATTAAATATTAGTTATATAATATATCTGGAAGGTTCAATACAGAGACATAATGACATGCCAACATAAAAATATATATTTTTATTATTTTTTAGTATAATAAGATTGATATTACAAAAAATATTTTAACATGTATATTATACGCACATGTTCTGCAATTCTCACTCTTATTTTTAGTCACGTATATCTTTAACTTAAAATATCTTAGGAATTATAAGAGAGTGTCACCTAATTCAAAGCCCATATTGCCTAGAAATAAAGTTGTATAAAACATGTCTTTCGTGCTGAATAAGTTTTTGTACATTTCTATCATATTCTGCATTACAGTTTATAAATTAATAAGATTAAACATAAAGCGGCATCAGTGCCATATATATATTATCAAGATTAATTGTCCGTAAAATTGTAGTTTTTAGATACGCAAAGAATATTCGCAAGAGCCTCTACCACGAGTAAGACGTCGGTACCTACTGTGGATTACGTATTACATCAAAATTTACCACTTTCCTCTCTCATCGACACTTACAGTCAATGGAGTGAAAGATCATTTGGTCGTCGATTGTATCGATATGATGATAACGTACGGAGGAATATGACTTATTGGTCCCAGATGCGCAGGTCGCAAAGGACACAAAGGCTCAGTGCCGTCGCTAAAAACAGGAAGCACATTATAGGAATCACATCGGATGATGTTACAGTGTCTCAGACGCAAAGTGTTATAGGCAATGTTAAGAATAATTCATTTCTAGATAATAGTAGAATAATTGTTCCAATTTTGGAGGATTTTCATCGTAGTCCAGGATTGAGTATTAGAAGCAACATCCTATTTACGGATGTGACTCCTTTAAAATCAAGTCAGCAGCAATCATCGCCGTCACCGCAAGATACCGAGGGTAAACCATCGCAGGAACAAATGCAACGTGTATTCGATTGTCTTAGTGAAGATGTATGTTATCTGACAAACAAAGTGTTCTGGAATTATTGTCTTTTCCTCACGCGAATGCTTTTAAAGTAGAGTTGTATTTTGAGAGAAAGTACGATAATCCCGGAACACTGTACATGTTATTGTATCAAACAATTATTTTATTGAATTATTTTTAGTTGCCGAAGTTGTTTGTGAAGATGCAGAATTACGCAATATATACTGAAGATATAATCTTCATCAATAACATAAGAGGAGTAACAACAAAGTAAGTTAACTTTCACGTTCTTCTTTTAAATAGATTATATATTGATGGACTCATTGCGAGAATTATAAGTACTTGACAAAATTCAAATTCCACTTTGAATAGTTTAATTTTGAATATTTTAAATATTTGCCGATCGCTTTATTTGTTTGTGTGTATGTATGTTCTCTCTCTCTCTCTCTCTGTCTGTGTGTGTGTGTTGTGTGTATTGCGCACACGTATGTGCATGCGCGTGAATCAAATCTTTGACGATATGCTGGAATCTAACCTGATTTTTATCCTAATTTTCCTAATTTTCGAATCTAATCTAATCTCTTTAATTTGAATGTATATCAAATTTGAGTTACATTTTTTGGGGGGATTTACATGCTAATTCGTGATGAAATACTTACAATGATATTAAAAACTTTTTCCTGAGTATGAGTAAAAATATTAATCATTGCATAAAAAATCTCCCATCAATCACAAAGAAAATGTGCTAAGTGCTAGAAAATTTATAATAGATATCAAACAGGTGTGAACAGATCTTATAAACTGATAAATATATATGCATGTATCATAACATAATCATATTTTACAAGATGATAAATTTGTCATACATTTGATACAGTATGTTTAAACAAATTATGGAGTTAATTATTTTTAATCTAGTAGCGTTTTCAAGCTGCACATCTATCTTACAAAGTTTCCGTATTTTATGATCAGAACCGCACCAAATTATTTAGCAGAAGAATATTTTTACACGCATAGTTTTGTTAACAATAAAAAGTGACTTTAAGGAACTAGTTTTTTTTTTTCAATGACTTATTCGTCTATCATTTTCCGATAAAAATGAAATAATCGAAAGACACGACCGATTCAGCACAGCCGATAAAATTATCGAACTGTTCGAACCGTTAAGATTCGAAACCAATTTGAATCAACAGAGATTCGAACGATTCATATACCTCTAATAATTTATAAAGCTTCAAATTTTATTTGTTCAATATTTATATATGTTTTTGCATATTATTTGTATGTACTTTAATGAATATTGCAGGGGACTTATGAGTTATGTAAAACAATTAGCACTTCTAAAGGCGCTTGGTCACGTAAAGTTCGCATTTGTCAAGTTTGATATCATAAAGATCACAATGCATATTGAAGATGCTACAGTGAGAGTTCGTTGGCGTATACGAGGTGTTTCAACTATAAGAATGCTCAGCATTTGTTGGAAATATAAACTTTTCAATATACGAGAAGCTTTGGAAAAGGATTCTGAGCTGTAAGTTTGGTTTAAAGATTATTACGAGTATACACATGTGCAGTGCCATTGAACATGAATGAATTGTTGAATGAATATGAATTTAATTTCGCCAGGTGCCAGAAATATTATTAAACTCAGAGTACCATGCTATAATCCTATGAAAAATGAAATATTGGAGAAATTGAATTCATAGTAGTATCACCTTTACATTAAACCTTCAGATAACAAAGTTTATGCTGTCCCACATATAACAAGGTTTATAGACAAGGAATTAGTCTTTGAAAAAATTTTATGAAATAAAAACAGAAGAGAGAGAGTTATCAATTTTTCCTCTTTAATTAGTCAAGAAATAATTATACATTTTTTTATGATTAATATATCGCTAATTTGTGGCAAGTAATTTGTTAAAAAATAATAATGAAAAAAATAGTAAAATAATCGAGAAATGACGTTAATAACAAGGTAGGTCAACCGGGAGAACGCGCTTGGGAAAATTAGGTCATATTAGCCGAATTTGCTTTATACTAGGTAAGATTATGCAGTCCAATTTATTTACATTATCAGTTGTTGCGGAAAGACTGGCTTGAAAGACTCGCGAAGCCGCAACACGCCACGCTTCGCTAGCACATGCGTGGAAACATTAGAATATGGTCGGATCTGATCTATCTGTTACGGTTCTCAAGAAGAGCTGAAAATGACAAAAGTGAGCAAATTCACAAGGTGTTGAGCAATGAAATTATAAATATTCTAGTAAATTGGACAAAATCACTTTTGTAATTTTCACCTCGTTCTCACGAGAATCGTAATGGCCCTCCTCTGAGGGTTAATTGTATCAATTTATACATATATAACTGGCGTTGTTTCTTATATTTTATTATTAATTATTTTTTTCTACGTCTCAAGGTCTATTTTTGTGGTATTTGCTACGAATTCAATTAAAAATTCATGGACTCTTCTCGTTTTGCTCTTAAGCAGGGAATTGCTTAAACTTTTATTAAAATTAAAGCCTATTTATGTAATCTATCTTATTTCACGAATAAAAAGGAAATAATTATATATAACAATTTCAGATGGTATGATGGCTTTTCTACTTACTATGTAAATAGCGAGGGAAAAGTTTATAAGCACATCGCGGATAAAGTGATGCCCGATCAAGATGTGGCGGAGAAAAAGGATGACTTACGTATCGCCCCGAAATTAGCGCTATTTAGAGGCCTGACGGACGTGTTCAACAATGATGAGTGTTTTTCTGAATTATGTACTACGTTAAAATTTCATCGGTTAGAATAAGCGATTTGGCAAAACAGTTTGTAAAATTATACGACAAAAGAAATAGTTTTACAACGTATCTAAGATTATTATAATATAATGCATTTCGTTAAAAATTTATCAGTATAGCAAGCAAAACTACTATTGATAGTGTAAGAGAATATGTGAATTAAAAGAATATACATTAAATGTATCTATCTATCTTTTTATATGATTCTAAATTACCCGCATCCGTTTGTTCAGCAATCAGAATAAGAGCGTAAATATCTTTCTAAAAAAAAAAATCTAGTAATTGTAATTCACAAATGTTAGAAAATGCATGTTATATTAATAAAATACCTTGTACTTCTAAAATATAATAGCCTTAACATTTTAATACAAATAGATTATTAGGATCTTCCACTCACATATATTCGTGATTTATTTATTAATTATTAAAAAAAATGATAACGATATGTCAAAACAGTAATGTGTTATTGTGATAGCTTTGTATTGTATACAAACTGTCCCATTTTAAATGACAACCTCAAATATCTTGAACAATGCATCTGAAAGAAAAATGTTTCATATAAAAGTTAGAGGGTTTAAAAGGATCCATCTTATCAGTTGGAACTTAGGTGTCAGTCAAATGAGGGTCAATTTAATTTTTTTATGAAATCGCATGGTTTTCTTAAAAATCGGTTCCTCGGTTCATTCCGCGTATAAAAATACAAGGTTAAGATAATCGAAAAAAGAATTTTTCTTTTCGAGATATTTTCTTATTCTGATATTTTTCAATACAAGATATGAGATATCTATTAAAGCAAGCCTGCAGCTAGTTTGCATTTTCCTATGGTTTATCCGACTGCCATTTCCTCGTCTTATACCATCTAGGCTCCTTTCGGACCAATATTTAATAAGTTATTCGACTGCAAATATCTGCCTCTGGTAACTTTCGGTGCCGATTTTTTTTTTAACAATCATAAATAGTTGATATTTTTTACCTATCAGGAACTGTAGAACTCATCGAGAGAAATCAAATGCGCTATTCAGGAGTATTCAGACTCGATACCAAATTTTTTTAATTTTTGAAAGGAATCGAAAAAATATTATTTTGTATCAGGAACTCCAGAACTCTTTGAAATACACCAAATGAGCTATTTAGAACGATCTTGATGTTAGGTGTAAGGTTAGCACCCCGTTTTTAATTGTGTAATTGCAAATACCAAAAGTTGTTAAATATTAAGGTAAATCTCCACAGCGTTGGGTGCGGTGGAATGCAATCGCGCGGTCCGCTCGAGGAATATTTTCACTGTCCTGTAAGCTTTCTGAACACTTTAACATGTACGAATATTTATTCAATACTGATAAATCCAAATCTCGTTGCCATCGACGAAATTTAATGTTACTAGTGACAATATAATTTCTCCGTTATGACTTTAATACATTATCAATTATTTGTAAACAGTACTTATAGAAAGCAAGGGTTGAATCTAAAATGGCATCTGAATGAATTGTTGGCGCATTGTCTAAGCTCTTGACAAGATTATATAAATTATTCATAAGATATTCATGAATCAAAAACACACCCTGATAAAACTCGACGTTTCTGATTGGTCCTTCATTCTTTCTAGGGATGTTTCGATCCACAATCCACTACTCACATTAATTTAGCGTTTAACGTAAAAATAAGCCCTCGGTGAAGCAGATTAAACCAAATTTTACTTCCACGTAACATATTTGCATCCGCGTTGCTACGAAATAGCACNTTTAGTACCGAAATTAAATTCCAGAATCATTCTCTGAAGCTTGGGGTATGATGGAAATGTATCGCGTTGTATGCTCGAAACATATTTCCAACGCCTTGTATGCTTTGCGAACATTTTCTCATGTAAGATTATTTTTTCAATACTGATAAATCCAAATTTCGTTGACATCGACGATACTTAATGTTACTAGTGACAAAATCATATCACCGGTATGACTGTTATATATTATGAATTATTTGTAGTCAGGATATATTAACAAAACGCGTGGCGTCTTAAATTGCATATGAATGAATTGTTGGCGCATCGTTTAAGGCCTTGCCAAAATAAAATAAATAATTCATGAGATATTCATACATCAAGAACACAATCTGATACAACTCGATGTGTTTGAGTGGTCCTTCCAACTTTCTAGGGATGTTACAATCGGCAATTCGCTAATCACATTAATTTGGCGCTTTCCGCACAAGTTAGCCCTCAGTACAGAAGATTTCATCACATTTGAATTCCGCGTGACATATTTGCACCCGCGTTGCTTCGAAATAGTATTGTTTGTAGTACGCAAAGTAACTATATTGTCGAATAATAGCTTAGTTATTTACCTATTGCGAGTTACCAACATTTTTTTTCACTCATTTATTCGAAATTGAATAAGGAATCGAAATATGTAAACATTTTTGTAGTCACTGATTGCGAAGTACATGTAATTTCAAATCGTTTATAACTATTATGTATTTCTCAAAAACATGCTACGTAGAATTATGATTTGTTTTAATAAGATAATGAAATAATATCAAAATTTTCCATTTCATTAAGAAATACACGCAAATGATTTACTAATAGCGCGCCGCGTCCAGTTCAGGCCGCGTCCAGTTCGCGCCGCTGCATCGATGTAAACAAATGAACGTAGTTATTTACCTCTTGCGAGTTACCAACATTTTTCTTCACTCATTTATTCGAAATTTAATAAGGAATCGAAATATCTAAACATTATTGTCGTAACTGATTGAGAAGTTCATGTAATCTCCAATCGTTTATGTTCGCCTCCGCTGCGGCGCTGCGCGTCGAAGGTAAAAAAAAGTTGTTGTTATTATTTACCTACTGCGAGTTACCAACATTTTTCTTCACTCATTTATTCGAAATTTAATAAGGAATCGAAATATCTAAACATTATTGTCGTAACTGAATGAGAAGTACATGTAATCTCCAATCGTTTATGATCGTCTTCGCTGCGGCGCTGCGCGTCGATGGTAAACAAATGATCGCTGTTAGTATTTCCCTTATGTCGAGTCACCAACATTTTTCTTCACTCATTTATTCGAAATTTAATAAGAAATCGAAATATCTAAACATTATTGTCGTAACTGATTGAGAAGTAGAAGTAATCTCCAATCGTTTATGATCGCCTCCGTTGCGGCGCTGCGCGTCGATTGTAAACAAATGATCGTTGTTATTTACCAATTGCGAGTTACCAACATTCTTCTTCAATAATTTATTCGATATTTAATAAGGAATCGAAATATCTAAACATTATTGTCGTAACTGATTGAGAAGTACATGTAATCTCCAATCGTTTATGATCGCCTCCGCTGCTGCGCTGCGCGTCGATGGTTACCAAATGATCGTTTGTTTTTATTTACCTTATTGCGAGTCACCAACATTTTTCTTCACTCCTTTATTCGAAATTTAATAAGGAATCGAAATATCTAAACATTACTGTCGTAACTGATTGAGAAGTACATGTAATCTAAAATCGTTTACGATCGCCTACGCTGCGGGGCTGCGCGTCGATGATAAAAATTTATCGTTGTTATTATTTACCTTATTGCGAGTCACCAACATTTTTCTTCACTCATTTATTCGAAATTTAATAAGGAATCGAAATATATAAACAAGAATGTCGTAACTGATTGAAAAGTACATTTAATCTCTAATCGTTTACGATCGCATCCACTGAGGCGCTGCGCATCGATTGTAAACAAATGATCGTTTTTATTTATTTATTCCGTGTTACCAACATTCTTCTTTACTAATTTATTCGAAATTTAATAAGGAATCGAAATATCTAGGCATTATTGTCGTAACTGTTTGAGAAGTACATGTAATCTCCAATCGTTTACAATCGCCTCCGCTGCAGCGCAGCGCGTCGATGGTAAGCAAATGATCGTTGTTATTATTTACCTTATTGCGAGTCAGCAACATTTTTCTTCACTCATTTATTCGAAATTTAATAAGGAATGGAAATATCTAAACACTATTGTCGTAACTGATTGAGAAGTACAAGTAATCTCCTATCGTTTATGATCGCTTACGCTGGGGCGCTGCGCGTCGATGGTAAACAAATGATTCTTGTTATTATTTACCTTATTGCGAATCACTTACATTTTTCTTTACTCATTTATTCGAAATTTAATAAGGAATGGAAATATCTAAACACTATTGTCGTAACTGATTGAGAAGTACATGTAATCTCCAATCGGTTATGATCGCCTCCGCTGCGACGCTGCGCGTCGGTGGAAAAGAAATGATCGTTGTTATTATTTACCTATTGCGAGTTACCAAAATTTTTCTTCACTCGTTTATTCGAAATTTAATAAGGAATCGAAATATCGAAACATAATTGTCGTAACTGATTGAGAAGTACATGTAATCTCCAATCGTTTATGATCGCCTCCGCTGTGGCGCTGCGCGTCGAAGGTAAACAAATGATCGTTGTTATTATTTACCTATTGCGAGTTACCAACATTTTTCTTCACTCATTTATTCGAAATTTCATAAGGAATCGAAATATCTAAACACTATTGTCGTAACTGATTGAGAAGGACTTTAATCACCAATCGTTTATGATCGCCTCCTCTGCGGCGCTGCGCGTCGATGGTAAACAAATGATCTTTGTTTTTATTTACCTTATTGCGAGTCACCAACATTTTTCTTCACTCATTTATTCGAAATTTAATAAAGAATGGAAATATCTAAACACTTTTGTCCTTTACTGATTTAAAAGTACATGTAATCTCCAATCGTTTAAGATCGCCTCCGCTGCGGCTCTGCGCGTCGATGGTAAACAAATGATCGTTTGTTTTTATTTACCTTATTGCGAATCAGCAACATTTTTCTTCACTCATTTATTTGAAATTTAATAAGGAATGGAAATATCTAAACACTATTGTCGTAACTGATTGAGAAGTACATGTAATCTCCAATCGTTTATGATCGCCTCCGCTGCGGCGCTGCGCGTCGATGGTAAACAAATGATCGTTTGTTTTTATTTACCTTATTTCGTATCATTAATATTTTTCTTCACTCATTTATTCGAAATTTTATAAGGAATCGAAATATCTGAACATTATTGTCGTAACTGATTGAGAAGCACATGTAATCTCCAATCGTTTATGATCGCCTCCGCTGCGGGGCTGCGCGTCGATGGTAAACAAATGATCGCTGTTATTATT